TGATTAAGATCAAAGAGCACACAGCCTTCGGTATGGATTACATCTCAATGTAAAGAAAACAAAAATCCTCACCACTGGACCAATAAACATTTTTATCAGCGGAGAGTGATTAAAGTTGCCAAGGACTTCATTCTTCCTAGATCAACTATCAACACTCATGGAAGTAGCCGTCAAGAAATTAAATGACATATTGCATTAGACAAATCTGCTGCACAAGACCTTGTTAAAGTGTTGAAGAGCAAAGATGTCAGCTTGAGGACTAAGGTGTACCTGACCTAAGCCATAGCGTTTTTAATAACCTCATATGCATGCCAAAGCTGGACAGCAAATAAGAAGACCATTGAAGAATCGATGCTTTTGACTTATGGTATTGTGAGGAAAATATTGAAAGTGCCATGGGCTGCCAAAAGAACCAACAAATCTGTCCTGGAAGAAGTGCAAGTGTATTTTGGAGGCCAAAATGGCCAAACTTCGTTTCTCATACTTGGGACATATTGTCAGTCACTGGAGGAAATCATGTTTGATAAGGTGGAGTGTCAGAGAAAAAGAGGAAGACCCCCAGCGAGATGGATTGGGAAAGTGGCAGCATCAATAGGCTCAAGCGTGGCAACAACTATGAGGTTAGCCCAGGACCGGGCAGTGTTTCGTTCTGTTGTGCATAGGGTCACTATGAGGTGGTACCTACTCAATGGCACCTAACAACATTATGCATGTTAAAGTAGACAATGAATATGGAAGACTGTGGAAGAATTGATGCATATGAATTATGGTGTTGGAGGAAAATATTGCAAGTACCACAGACTGTCAAAAAGAGATAACAAACACATCTGGTTGGAAGTATAGCCAGAGTGCTCCTTGGAAGCCAAATGGTATGAGTTCCACCTCTGGTACTTTGGATATAATGTCAGGAGTGACAAGTCACTGGAGAAGGGTATCATGTTTGGTATGGAGAGTTGGAGTAAAAGAGGATGGCCCCTTGTGAGATGGATTGACACAGTGGCAGGTGCAATGCCGTCAGGAGTTCCAACTCATGACTAGAGTTTGGTGCAGGACTATGCAGTTCTTTGTTCTGTTGTGCAAAGGGTCAATATGGGTTGAAGTAACTTGATCTCACCTAACAATAACAGCATCTTATGTCCTAATTCTTGAATGTCAGGTATGCTCTTTTTTTGCAGAATTGTTATATAGTGTATTAATCACAAAATTAGTGAATTGTCTGATGCTGTTGAGTTGGCTGATAACCACTCTATGTACCAGAGCAGGAGGAAACACTGCTTCCTCCTGTATCATCCTCAAAATTCTTAATTTTGTGCCTATTGTGAATAAATGAATAAATGTATAAGAAGCTGAGTGTCTTGGAGTTGTAGTGATTGGGAACTTATGGTTTACTTGTTTCTTCTTAAGATTCCTCCTCCCTTAGTACTGGGTACTATAAAGTATGAAGGATCTAATATGCTTATTCATAGCACAATGTTGGGCAATTCTGTTTGCTGGTGGCTTTCACCTTGACTTTTTGACTTGCTTCTCATTATCAGTGTCACTTTTACTTTCAACAGATGCTTTCCAGCACCATACTTATTGCTAATATGGCAAAGAGTTCATCTACCTTTGTACTCTGTTGAGGATTCAAACCTTCCTGAGGGCCTTATATCAAGTGTCACATGTGATTATATCTGTTTGGGAACTGGGTATGATAGGAGCTATCTAGTGAGTGTCTAGATCAACCCTGAGACCTATGAGACAGATCTCCATTGAGACTTTCTTAGGCTAAGGACTTGTCAGTTTCTGTTATTTATCAAATTATAAAAATGGTTGTCACATATTCTGGAATTATTTAAAGAGGCAGTATTAATATAATAAAAATGTGATTTTTTTTGTTTGAGGTTATGAACTGAAAGACCAGTGTGAAAGGTTTAATTGCCAAGAATTAGCTATTCAACTCTCCAAATCTGTGTAAATTTTTACTAGCTTATGAAGTGAAGATAAATACTATGCCCTAACACCCGAGTCCATCTAATTATTTAAGCCCATTTATTTATACATTGTACTTACTCGTTTATTAAAATAAAAATTTAAAGACAGAAACTATGCTTTGTTGGTTTGCATCTTAAGTGCTTACCACAATGACTGCTTATACTAAAGAAAACACATTGGTCCAATGAATTAATAAAAATATTTGGACAATTTCACAGTGCTAAGTAAATGTAAGCTGTTTGAGGGAAACAGAACTTTCCCATGCTTCACTCTCTCTTGGATTAGGTAGTTTCTGCCTATGGCCATAATGGCTTCAGGCAACTGGTGCTAGTCCACACAGACAGACAGACTGGTATGTGGACCTTGTTGCATCTCACACTTTCATCTTTCTGGAAGTGTCCTCATGCTCAAAGTCTTGGGCTTCCTTTGGATCCTTTGGTGTGCCGTGTTATTAGCACTCCTCATAGACAGTCCTGTTGATACTGTTACACCATACCTGTAAACAAACAAAACAAATGTCAAGTATCAATTCCATATTTCATACATACACCTTTTCAGTATGAACTAATAGTTACTGAGATCTCTTTATGTACCAGGCACTGTGTGCTTATAATATTAATTTACTGTAAACTCTTATCTCTATGGAGTAGATACTATTGTTATAGTCATTTTGCTAATGAGAGCACTAAAAAAAAAAGTTATGTTTTGCCCAAGAGTGGTGGAGCCAGGATTCTAGCATAGGATCTGACTCCAAAGCCCATGCTTTTAACCATCACGCTCTGCAGCCTTTTGGCCTACTGCTTTTTCATATTTCATATATAATTAATCTATTTTTTTTTTTAGAAATGAGTGAAAAGAATTTTAAAGCTTACTTTTCTTATTAAACACTCTTTTAAAATTATTGTTATTGTGAAATGACGTTGAGTCAGTTCCGACCCATAGTGACCCTGTATAGGATTTCCAAAGAGAGGCTGGTGAGCTTGAACCAGCAACGTTGCAGATCAAACTGCCTTTGCAGCCAGCACATTAGCACACAGGACCACACCAAGACTCCATAAGTAATTATAGTTACCCAAAATGTTAATGGTGTACTGCTGTAGAATAAGCACTGAACTGTACCAGCTACTCCTTCGGAGCCTTATACAGGGTCCCTATGAGTTGCAACTGCCTATGGCACCTAGCGACAACAAAGTTTTAACTGGGGCTTCTTTTGTGCGCTCATCCTGGTGGTGAGAATAAAATTTGGAAGATCCCGTTCATCTACCCATATAGCAGAGAAATTATTACAGCAAGTTGAACATACATACAGCAGTAATCTACTAAAAATTGTGTACTAAAATTCTAAATGTTCTCCTTTAATATAGATGACCCTAAAATAAGGACCCCTATTATAACTAGTTTAAATCACGTCTAGTTTTTTTATTTCTAGACTATATTCTATAAGCTGTTAATTTCCTTGACATAAAAATGGTGACAATTATAAACTGTGTTGTTATTTAGTATAGCCAATGATTTTCATTTATGTATGAAATCCTGTTTTGGTGATGAAGGATAAGCACTGGACTGCTAAGTCACTGGTTCAAACCCAGCAGCTGCTCCTGGGAAACCATACACAGGGTCCCTCACTATGAGCCTGAATTGATTCAACAACAATTAACATGGACGGTTCCCTCCCTTCATAATGGCAGAACTCCGGTTAAACTTTACCAAATTTTATCAACTTAAGCAAAATACCTATTTTCCTATTAGCATACAAAAAGCTGTGTATAAAAACTATACACTAATCATTACTTGAATTATACTGCGGTTATATTCTAAAGATGTAACACTTTTCATATGAACTGACAGTGTTAAAAAGGCAAAAACATTGTAACTCACAGACAGTACAACTTTTTCTTACATCATCTGTAAAAATAGTGAGAATGCCAATGTTTTATTTGCCGTGGGGAGAAGGAGGGAAACATCAGTGAAATAGATTTGATAACATGATTCACACTTCATTACAAGTGATTTTCCTAAATTCACAACTTTCACATTTGGCTGAGCTAAAAAGAAAAAATGGTGACTAAAATAGGAACTTTATATTTCACTAGACATAAGTAGGCCAAGTCACATGATCTCTCTCAATGCGCGTGTTCAGAAGAGAATGAGTGTACTCTTCTAGCTAGGAAAATGTTTTCCTTAATTGAGTTTAAATAATTTAGCCTTGGCAATGAATTAAGTCCTCGACTAAAGATCAGAAAACTCTATTAGCCTGTTTTGTAAGAATTGGGTAAAAATTTACTATGGAACATAATTTGGGCCATCTTCTTGATTAAGTCTTAATAGTTGAGACAAGAATATAAATCACTTCATTGTCCTTCGGGTTTTTCCCTCTTAACATCCTTCTGGATTTCCTAGGTGGTGTATTTTACTAAATGGGTTAATGTATTTATCAACCTTAGCACCCTATAGAAGTAGTAAGAGCAACGAATTTGTGTATTTTAATTGCTAATCATTCACCTCCGCTCCTTTCCCAGTCATAAAGTTTATTTAAAAACAATGTAGGCAGAAGTACAGCAGCTTTTAGAGGCGTCTGAGGTGGGAGGAAATTCAGAGGTGGAGAACAAATGCACTTCATCCCTTCAATCTGCCTTCAGATTCAGAGGTGTGAGAGGTGTCAGTGACTTGAAGAACTCAAAATCCTTCTGTGAGGTTCCCGCCCCATCCTCCCACGTTAAAAAGAAAAAGAAATAAGCCCTAGAAATAAGTGCTTGGGATCACATGCTTTTGAGGCTTAAAAGCTCATTAATAACCACGCTGCAGCTGTTGCGGTAGGGAATCATCACTTTTTAAACAAAAATTGCCAGCAGAAGCTTTTCAAAAAGAGACTGAAATCACTCTCCCTCCCCAGGAGACATGAGAGAAACAGCAGAGCGATTGCCCCCTACTTGCACGTGGGCTCTCCCTTTCTCCTGGGACCCCACCTATGCCTTCTCCTCGCAGGTCAGGCCGCCTTGGGAAGTAGCCAGGCGAAAAAGCCAGGCTCAGTCCTCCATGGCAAAGTCTTTGGTCTTTTCTTCCTGGTCCCCAACTTTGTAGCGCAGCAGCACGCGCAGGCGACGGGGGTTGTCCTGGGAGGGTAGCAGTGTGATCTCGCCGGAAATGTCCGTGTCCTGCTCTACTGGCACCGGCTCATTCAAGTACAGGAGCGCCTGCTTCCAGTGGGTGGCCGGGTGAAACGGTGAGGTGGACAGCACCAGGGGTTTTTCGGAGTCCCCTCCGGGGAAGGTCACCTGGAACCAGATGGCGAAGCCGTGCATTGGCGCCGAGCCATAACAGCTGCAGCGGAAGCGCCCACTCACCCCGGCTTCCAACTCCTGCTCCAGCCCGGCGCGGGCCAGATCCAGCTGAGCAAAGCGCTGAGGCCGGGCTAGCACGTCCTCGCCGGACAGGCCCTGCACCAGGATCTCGGAGTGGCCCATGAGGCAGCGTGTGGCGAAGTTTTCCAGGCAGCTCATGTCCACGCCGTAGTGCTGCTTCACCTGGCTCCAGAAACCCAGGCGCCACTCCAGCATCTGGTCGCTGATGGGTGCCACGAAGAGCTCGGCGGAAGCCGGCAGGAGAAGGCCGCCCTCCTTCAGCCACTTGGACCGTGCATGGAGCACAGAGCTCAGCATGGACTCGTGCAGCAGTCCGTAGCCCATCCACTCGCTGACGATGGCATCCACCTGCTCCGGCAACTCCACCGTCTCCACCGGCCCCGGCAGGACGTGTACCCGATCCTCCAGCCCGTTGAGCCGCACCACCTCTCGGGCCTGTTGCCAGATTGCGCTGGCTTCCACTGCGTACACACGCCGAGCCCCGGCCTGGGCACAGAAGATGCTCAGAATGCCGGTGCCCGCGCCCACGTCCAGTACTGTCTTGCCTCGCAATGCTGACCAGTTCCGCAGAATGCCCAGGCGATAGGCATCCGTGCGGACGCGGTCCGCGATCATCTCCTCGTGGACCGATATATCGGAGTAGCACTCGTAATACAGTTGGTCCCGCTCCCGCTTTGTTCTCCGGGGTCGCGGCGGAACCGCCTCCCCCTCTCCGCCATCTTCCTCTTCACTACCTTCCCCTCCGCCGCCCCCCAACTCAAGCTTTCTTTTCTTGAGCAGCGACATTTTGGCTGCTTCAGCTGGTTCCCGGCAGGCGTTGCGCGGCGTCACGTGGTCCTAGGAAGCAGGTCCTTCTGGGACTTGTAGTGCGCGTCCAGACGTCCCAGTTCCTGTGTGGTCGCGGGATGGGCCTTCAAAGACCTGAAATCTGTTTCCAGCCTGCCACGCCTACATTTTGTGATTCTATTAGTTTCCTCCTCTTTACGTTTTCAGTTCTTCTTGCTTTCTCTTCCTTCCTGAAGTAGTCACCATCACCTAGACTAAAAAGTTTCCTTTTACCAACTCTGTTCAACTCAGTCATTTTATTCTACCCTTCATAAACTATCATCTTATCTGGAAAGTTGCAACTACAATTTTCTTTTGTCAGAGGAGATAGAGAAAAATCTAGCAATGCAAAAACTTTTGTTTTGGTCTAATCTGATCACTGATTGAGTGGTTTAGTGTAAATTACATAATTTCTCTGACCTATCTCCTCCTTTTCACCTACAAGGAATCTCCTTTCAGTAAAAAAGAATGATGTTTCTGGTCTTCATTTCAGGTGAATAGTTACTGTCTCTCTGATCTCTTCTCTTGTATTCTGCACCTCAATGGAGAGTTAAACCCTGGATGAGTACAGAGATGTTGAAAAGCAGGAAAGGTGTGATCCAACCAAATCTTATTGCCAATTGCATTCCAGTAACCAATTATAGCACTCGCCTCCCTCCCCCCAACAACTGTATCCTTCATCCGTTCTCATAAATCTTCTGTTGTAATTCCTTAATTGTTCTTATGTTTGTGTCTCCTTGCCTTGTCTGGGCAAGATTAGTACTCTTCTCTTTCCCTTATATTTTCTTTCAGTCAACCTGTTGATTTCTCCCCTTTGTGGTTCATAATGAAACAAACACACATATAAAATATATGTGGAATTTATGGATGTCGCAATACTGTGAATTACTTCATATGGTTCTTCTACCCATGTCTTTTTAACTCCCACCAAGCAACTTTTTATCCTGATTGGCTGAGTAAGAGAAAATGGGGAAAGGTGGTAGGATTATAGATTGTTATCAGGGTTAATTGTTCTTGTAAAAACTTAGGACTCTTGTTGTTCTTAAGTGCCGTTGTTGAGTTAGTTCCGACCCATAGCGGCCCTCTATAGAGTTTCCGAGGAGTGGCTGGTGGGTTTGAACTGCCTACCTTGCGGATCAAACCCAACTTGTGGTACGTATCTTACAGCACCACATCAGGACTCTTAATGTGGGTATTAAATAAGTCATCTCAGAAGAGGGTTGAGAGTACAAACAACTTCCACTGCTATTAAGGGCAAAGAAAAGTAGTGGAATGTGTTGTTTGGACACAAGATCCATGTTCATTGAACCTCTGACCCAGTGAAGCTGAGTGCCTTTGGGCAGGAGGCTTACTTGAGCAGTGGGATGCCTTCAGGCATTTAATTAGGGAGCTAGATCAGCTGGCACACAGAGCTGGAGTGGCAAGCAGAGCAGTGGGCCTGAGGCTTATGTTGTTGTTGTTGTTAGGTGCCATCAAGTTGGTACCGACCCATAGCAGCCTTATCCACAGCAGAAAGAAACACTGCTGGATCCTGGGCCAACCTCACTACTGTTGCCACGTTTGAGTCCATCAATGCTGCCACTTGGAAAATCCATTGGGGGTCTTCCTCTTTTTCTATGACCCTCTACCTTACCAAACATAATATCCTTCTCCAGCGATTGGTCCGGTCCCTCCTGACAATATGTCCGAAGTACGCGAGATGAAATTTGTCCATCTTGGCCTCCAAGGAGCACTCTGGCTGCACTTCTTCCAAAACACATCTATTGGTTCTTTTGGCAGCCCATGGCACTTTTAGTATTCTCCTCCAACTCAAAAGCATCAATTTTTCTATGGTCTTCCTTATTCACTGTCCAGCTTTCACATGCAAATGTTGTTGTTGTTATGAGCCATGGAGTTGGTTCCGACTCATAGCGACCCTGTACAGGATTTCGAGGCTGTAAATCTTTACAGGAGCAGAAAGCCTCATCTTTCTTCTGCGGAACTGCTGGTAGTTTCGAACTGCTGATCATGAGATTAGCAGACTGATTCATATGAGGTTATTGAAAATACCATGGATTGGGTCAGGAACATCCTAGTCCTCAAGCTGACATCTTTGCTCTTCAACACCTTAAAAAGGTCTTGTGCAGAAGATTTGCCTAATGCAATATG